AGGTACTTACCTGTATCAGGAGCTAACTTCGCTCCAAGGTTTGGGCAGGCCGTGAGTCTGTGTAATGGTAGATAGCGAGTCGTGTACAGTGATGTGTCAATGTGTGGGGCCTTGGCAAGCATAGGCAACCAGCAGCGGCCGAGTTCCAGGCTGTTCCAAAATGCTGCATCGCTGCAGACTGCTTCAGCGCCGGACCACTTCTTTCTTCACTGTCACTATTCAGTCTCTTAGCTTCATTGTACATTAAGCTAACTTCAATTCGCCTAATTCCACTCTCATCGCAGAGTTGAATACGTGATACCCGACACGGCAACGGACGGTAGCACATAATTCGACATTGAATGTCCTGGATTCACTTATCACAAATTATAAATTCGGCACCAGAATAACACGTCGCGCCAGAGTCAAAATACGCCTCGTTGACACGCAAATTAATTTAATTAGGCAACCAAAACACAAAAAGGCACTAACGCGACGACCCAATTATAACGATATCCTGCCAATTAACCGGGAGAAGCTCTCAAACTAGGAATGCGCGGCTCGAATCCTAGACCGTATATCTCCTCGACGCGCGTACACTATTCCGCACTCTCGCTCGACGAAGAAGCACGTACTTCATCTAGCTATCTAGATCCACGACGGGCCGTGAATTTAGGTAAGAGGGCCTGACGGTCTCCCCGCCTCGTGGCTGGCGGGGCACCGACCCTTCGCCCACGCGTCGAGCGACTGACTGCCCACGCGGCCGCCCCACCTCAGCGTTTACCTTACATACATACCAAGTCAGGTGAGGCGATAGCTCGAACGCAATTGGATGGCGTACAAATTACCTTTTTTGGCCTAAACAAATACATTTATATTATATTATATTTATTTTTATATTCGTAAGAATCACACTTTTCTGTAAATAAATATTTTCTCTTTGTATTTTCTTAAATTTCTCAGTAATTTTCTTTCTAGCTGAAGCTTGCGTATTTTTTTTGAGTACACTTTTTGTCGGACTATCAAAAATGGAATTTAAATTGCTTACTGATTCAGACAACGGTTCTAATAATTTTTGTTCACCACATTTTGTTGGCTGAAAAAAAGATACTAGTTATCTGGGAAGCCTGTAAAAATTCTAGCGTTACAGTATTAAAAACCCGCCATATATTAGTACGACTCGCGCGCCGAGGGTACCGCCTCTCTTAAGTCCCGTAAATATACTGAATTTACACATTACAAAAATTCGTTCGTCGTCTAATCACAAAATAAAACAAAAATCCCAGCAATATTATATAATAATATAATTACGTTATCGCATGGTACTGCAGATTTTTTTAAGTATACTCTTCCTGTTTTAGTGAAGTATTAGTTGTTTTCTTTGAAATGTACGGAACATATGCGTGAATAATCTGACGGTAACCACGTTTCTTCGCTGCGATTCTTCTGAACAAATTTGATCCATGATTCTCTTTCTTTTTTTTTTGATTCAGGAAACCTTTAAATCCAAATAATAATAAAAACTATTACTTTTAATGCATTAACATTTTCTACCGTGATTATATATTAATATATATTGTCCATAATTACTTAACATTATACGTCAATAGTGTTAAGTCTGCGCATAAAAATGTTTTACTCTTTGACATTCCCGTATACGTTGCAGTTGATAAAATATAATTAAATTAAGCGTGTTTTAAAGATAATAATATGTTGAACTTACTGGTGAAAAGTCACTCCTTGACTTTTACTTATATTTCTCGAGTTGTTTGAACAGTATCTCAATGCACACGAAGGAATATTAATTTAAAAATAATTCTTCACTCAAACTTCTCACGTTGCAGCAACCGCTTGACACAGACTAAGTGAGTTTGAGAGCGCGCACTCTAACGCGTGTTACAAACTTACAAACAATCGTGTTGAGGTGTGTCCTCTAGTACGTAGTACATATAACTCAATGACTGTAAGCAGTTTGGTCCAACTTGAGAGATAGGATAGTTTTTATCCCGATAAGTGACCCTTAACATTTTTTATTACGAATTTAAGGATGTTTTGATGGAGAAAGGGTGTAACGGTGCATCTGAATGCACCCTTACAAATACTCGATTGATCTTAAATCTTAAATAATAATAGTAATATAATACTCTAATCTAAAAATAAAAAGTAATAAATTATTACATATTGTTAATTTAAAATAGCGTGACCCTCCTACTAACGACCGTTGTACCTGCTTACCTACAATTAAAATCTATATTATTCGAGGTGCAGTTGATCCCGCTGGGGTGAGTTCTTATTTATTGAAACATTATAACTGTTCTGCTTAATTATTACCTCTTTTGCTGAGGCTGCTTAGTACTTAGCTTTAAGAATTTTAACTTCCTACAAGGGGTGCTGGAACTGACTAGGGCACATGTAGTGCTATAGGAAGTTTCCCTAATGCTATCCTCCGTCTGGAATTCCAGGATCTACAGCTGCCTAGGATCTACTACTGCCTAGGATCTACTGCTACCTACGATCTACTACCACCTAGCATCTACCTGATACCTAAGAGATACTGCTGCCGAGCCGCGAGTTAACGGAGTGTTGGCTCACCCTCCTACCAACGGCCATCATCACTGTCGGGCTTGTGCTTCACCGGCTCCTTCTGCTAGCTGGCTGTCTACGGCCCGGGGGAAAAGCGCTTGGACTTACTACGTCAGGCCAGTGATCCCCTTCATAGAACTTACTTGTACGTGTGCGGAAGTAAGATAAATAAATAATTTACAACAAATCTTGGCGTTTTAAGAACCCACCTATTCTGTATCCGCTAACGGTACAAGGGTCATCTCAGAAAAGGGCAGAACAACGTCTGCCTGGGAAACTAGTCTTTATATATAAAAAATACGTGTCACGTTGTTTGTCCGCGATGAACTCCTAAACTACTGAACTGATTTCAATTAAATTTGCACACTGTGCAGTTTGGTCCAACTTGAGAGATAGCATAGTTTTTATCCTGACAAGTGATATTCAATATTTTTTTATTACGAATTTAAGGATTTTTTATATGAAGGGTCGTCGATAAGGGCAGAACAACGTCTGCCTGGCCAGCTAGTATTATATAGAACATAGATGCAGTAATTATAGTATTCTAATATATTATTCTATACATAGGCTGCACTAAAAGTATCGGGAATGGAATATTTCCACTGTTCCTGTCATATTAAAATCTTTTTAAATGAAAAGCCCTTGGTTTTAAAAATCAAATACCATTTATTTATTTGAAAATAGATTCTCGGTCTTGCCACAAGGTTTTGTCAAACTTGTTTAGTCGTTGAGAAAATGGAATTGACTCGAGAAAATTCAAGAGCGATGATTTATTATGACTTTCGAAGTGGTTTAACACAAAAACTTGGTGATGAAGCCCCATCCAAAACCACAACTTATCGCTGGGTTGCTGAATTTCAACGTGGACGTGTCAAGCTCAGTGATGATCCCCGTCAAGGTCGTCCAAAAACTGCAGTCACCCAAGAAAACGTTGATGCTGTGCGTAAGCTGATTGAGGAAGATCGACATGTGACATACCACGAAATTCAGGCAACTTTAGACATTGGCATGAGCCAAATATAAATAATCTTGCATGAACAATGAGGCGTAAAAAAGTTGTTTTCCCGATGGATACCGCATTCGCTCTGTGAAGAGCAAAAATCGGCTCGCGTTACTTGGTGCGTCAGAACTCTCGAAAGATTCCACACAGGATCCTCAAATGCTGTATGCAACATCGTATCAGGTGACGAATCCTAGATATACGCGTACGAACCCGAAACAAAAAACCAGTCACAAGTTTGGGTGTTCGAAAATGAGTAAAAGCCAACAAAAATTGTTCGTTCACGGAGTGTTGCAAAAAAAAATGGTGGCCACGTTTGTCTCCAAAACCGGCCATGTTACGACTATTCCTCTTGAGGGACAAAGAACGGTTAAGGCAGAATAGTATGCTAGCATTTGTTTGCCACAGGTCGTTTCTGAACTCCGTAAAGAGAACTGCAACCGCCGCATCATCCTCCATCACGACAATGCGAGTTCTCACACCGCACACAGAACAAAAGTGTTTTTAGAGCAAGAAAACATAGAATTATTAGACCATCCGCCGTAGAGCCCCGACCTAAGCCCTAATGATTTGTATACTTTCCCTAAAATATAGAATAAATTGCGTGGACAGAGATTTTCATCACCTGAAGAAGCTGTGGACGCCTACAAAACGGCCATTTTGGAGACCCCAACTTCCGAATGGAATGGTTGCTTCAATGATTGGTTCCATCCTATGGAAAATTTCGCGGAGAATACTTCGAAAAGCAATAAATACATTTTTAAATAGTAATGTTGTGTCACTTCTTTGATTCCCGAAATTTTCAGTGCCGCCCTCGTAGTATTGTAACGCCACTACCTAAATGTACTATGATATAGAAAGACACATAATGTCTGTGTCAATTTAATCGTTTATTAAATTTGTACAAAAATCACTGTTGCAGCAAAATTGAATAAAAAGAAAACTATTTAATGCGTATGTAATTTAATGCAATAAAGTAATATTATATTGAAAAATGATATCAAAAATCCTTAGATTTAAAACAATCTCTTTAATATCAAACTAATTCTATTACATTCTTTAAACTTTTGAATAAATAATTTAAATTATCAACTAAGTGAGCGCACATAGAAACTTAAAAACCAATGACATTACATTTTTAGCAGGGAGAAAAAAACTAAGGAAAATTTATATTCAGTTTTTTTTTTTAAATCGAACGGAATATTCAGCAGATTATCTTAAAGCGTGCATAAATAAATAATTTCAATTATTAAAAAGAAATGCTTTAGCTTATCAACAAAAAAACTCCAGTCTCGTCAATTGTCAGTTCAATTAAAGACACTATAAGTTTTCGTAAGAAATAAATACTTATACGAGTAGTAATAAAAGTTCAATGTGTTAGAGCCTTAAAACACATTTGAAAGCCGCGACCTAATAGATTTCGTTTGCAAATTTCGCCATGTTATGGACTTGCTGCGTATGTTTTCTGTGGTCTGCGCATTTGGTTCTAGGTGATGGCCTACTATTCCTGTACCGTCCACGGGACATCAGCAGCGAATGCGCCAATTCTCAACATCTTCGCTACGACCTGTCATTCGGAATGGGCATGTCTGACACCATCACTTTGGTATTATTTTTAAGTCATACAGTTCATTTTTTTGCTCAAGGATATTTGTCCTATAGGTTCTTTTAAACATTTTTTTTACTTCATCATAACAGGGCTTCACAAGTCCACTACAGAACATAGACCTCCCCCATGCCAGTTTAATAGCAAGCGGAACCCGTTAATTTTCTTTCGGTTCACAGTTTGCAAATGGGTCCCTCCTACTTAACTTAATGCGGGCGTCTAACTTAGGCTTTCAGCTCATAGTATAGTTCGTTAAACCGAAGTAGAGTTTAATTTGTTTATAGTTTATTTTAATTATGTTTTTTATTCTCAATGTTGTTTCGGTCTTTTTAGTGCATTAATTATAAATTGCTGTTATTGCTGTCGGTTTTCTTTTAATTATTTATCTTATTTTAGACTTTTTAGTGCCCCAAGACACTCTTATGAACTAAATTTCATATGATAGCATGAGGTCCGACACAAACATGGCGACGATACTTTTTAAACCAATTTATTATTCCTAATTAAATTTAAACATATATCATAATTATATTTTTGTAAGCCCCTTTTCATTTCCTTTATTTTGATACCACCATACTCGATAGGTGTGGTCAATTTTTTTTTATTAACGTATTACTAGTTCACGCTAAGAATCCGCCATTTTTTTTCAAACAGCTGTCTAAGAACATTTGAGTTACTAAGACGAAAATAACGATACCAAATCTTCCGAAATCCATTCGTATTAGAAAAAAATAGCCCTTCCATTTGTGATGTATATAATTTATTAGATAGGCGGCGATGATTAAAGATCCATCCGTAACAATAGATTAGATCGTAAACGTATGTCCACCTAATGGTAAGTGGCTAACCTGCAGCCAATTGCAAACAAAGATGGCTATAGTTTCTTTGTCACCATCGAGGAATAAGATGGAATACCTCACAGTAAGTACATTGACTCTCTCTCTCTCTCTCTACCCTTTAAACAGCAGCAGTGCAAACGCTGTATTCCAGTTATACTATCCAGAAATAATTGAACATTGTTCTCTCGTATAAGATAAACCCAGCAATGTTTTAACACTAGTAATTTTCCCGTTAATCACTCCCAACTAAGCTTTAAATGTTTGAGCTGGTCCTGGTTCACGACATTTGACATTGTTAAAGGTTTTCCGAACGCTGAGCACCTTCGACTACGAATGCGAAGTGGAGCTGTCCACGGAGTCAATAGAGGAACACTTGCTCGTGGTTATCCGTTTCCCGAACAGCATTGCGCACAACTGCGCGTACAATCGCAACGCGTTCACCATACTTGATAAGAGCAAGTGCCGGCGCCTGTGCGACATGGTGGGACAGCAGGATTTTTCGTCCCCGTACTATACCATCCCGATACGGAGGAGTATACACTTTCGATTCATTAGCAACAGCAGTGTCAACTTCGATATGAATGTTAGTGGCCTATGGCTATACTGATCTGCTCTTTTTTTCTATATCCATCTATATCTATACATCTTCTATACATTTCAATAAAACTGAAGAGACTGTCTGTAATATCTGTAATAGCTGAGATTTTCATGCCATGAAAACATGAATAACCACTTATAAAACAATTTGTCTGTGTGTCTGTTTGTCCGTATTTGCGGGGTAATCTAGGGAATAGTTAAATCGATTGTAATGAAACTTTACAAACAGATAGAGAGTACTGTCAGGAGTTATCCAGACTATATTTTATCCGACAAACTTGGAGATTTTTATAATATAAATATATAAATGTTTTTTAATTATCTGAAATCTAAAAAGCCACATTAATAAATCCCGCCCTGGCGAGTTTAGGGCGGGTCGTTATTAAATAATATAGCAATGCTTATAAAATTCATGATGCACCCCTTAAGCACTCCAAATAAACTTAAGATACCTACTGGTAGTACTTCATGATAGTATCCAATAAGTTTATTACAGGTGTAAAATAAACGATAGCTTGGCGTTTGGGGAGCAGGTCCAAATTCTGCATAGAACAAGTGTTTGTATGGCCTACACATATTTCTTGCTTTTCTTTTGTTTAATTTTTTAAGATTCTTACGGTCCTGGTTGTTGGTACTGATGATGTACAACACAATTTAAGCGAAATGCCTGTATGTTAGATACGAGAAGAACTCGTACAGAAGAAATGTCTAAGGAGTGGGAGGGGATAAGGCTTCGACAAGGTTGTTCATTAGGAATGTTGTGAAGTTATATCTAACACTATCGACTTTCTGCGCTATTAACATTTTTTCTTCATCGGATAAGTGTTGCATATGTGTTTTTTAAACAAGAGTGATAATCAAGCAAGCAGTCCGCCTGATAGTAAATGGATGCCGTGGTTGTAGACATACATCATACGTATATATATATGTTTTTTTTTACTTGGTATTTTACGTGGTAGAGCCACGTTGCAGCTGTATTACTGGTATAGTTGTAGCACGAATGGGTCGGTTCGACCAGGGAAGGACTACGCTTTCACAGAATACCAACGTAAATTAACGCGGCTGTGTTTTGTATGGTGGGTGTAGAGAACCGGAGACCGTTTTTACTGGAAACGAGGCATTCCATCTTAGTCCTCACGGGTGACAACGCATCTGCATTTTGATTCGTAATAGATGTCTATGGGCCACAGCTACCACTTACCATCTGGTGGAATGTTGCTCTTTTATCACCCTTATTCTATATAAAATAAAACTATCAGAAAAATCTATATGAAAAATATAAATAAATTGTGGGCGGTAGAAATCCATTTCTAGGAGTCTGTCTGGGGAGTTCCTATCCTCTTATCTATTGCTGTCACCAAGTAGCGGTGCGTGCACTACTGTGTTCCAGGTCTGAAGAGTATGGAGTGCAGGCAGTGAGGCATTACATCTAATTTCTCAGAGGTCACAAAGCAGTGTTCTTTGTTTAAAGTTGCAGGTGTACATGGACTGCGGTAGCCACTTACCATCAGGGGGAATGTAACTTAATTTGTCACTTAAGTTTTATAAACGAAAAAAATAAAATAAACGTAACATGAAAATCCGCAGTATTACGTTGCTGTTCTAAGTTAGTATTCTGCGTGAGAGTGGTCCAGATCAATGGAGCCGATCCATTTGTGATACAGGCGAAATGCAGCAAAAAATAAATTACCAAAATAAATCGATTACAAAAAGTATAAAATCTATATAGGCTGTATGGTACTGCACCGGACGGGCGAAACTCGGAAGTAAATGTTGTCGAAGATACTCCGCCAGTCGCTCACGTCCTACACCTTTAGGTGTCGGTGGTCGTCTACTGCCGTCTTTGTGGATGCGACTGGGGTACTATAGACGGACTTTCAATCAAAATGCACGAACTGTAGAATACGAACGGCAAGGCAGTGGCCAGCGGTTCGACTGCTAAACTGTTCGGCGGAAATCTTCTGACAATTGGTTGTCAATACGGTTGTTCCCTATGTTCTTCAGATGATTTCTTCAGTTGACTATTTCTTCCAGTTGTTCGGTTGTAACTTTCTACCACTACTTTCTATTACTATGTTCTGCTACTAGCTGGTTCCGCTACTACATTTACTACAATGTTACCGGGCCCCGAGGCGCTTAGGTAGACCGAAGCTTTACTTTAAAGTGAGCCGCTTGCTTTTATTGTTTACTATTTTCACTATACAATTATCATAATTTACAATATTTCTTTACACGATTAATTCTTACGCTAATGTTTTATATATGGTTAGATCGATAATTTAGTTATCTATTAGAACATAATAAAGGTTTTTTAATATATTAATAATTTAAAAAGTTATTAACAAAAATATTCCAAATTTTCACAATATTTGGGTACATTGATTCTTTAATTTTACTATAGGTGGGCGATGCTCTATAGTATAGAGTCTATACTATAATACTAAGGGTTGTAAACATGTTGTAAAATTACACTATTGCACCTTTCCTTACGTTTGTCACTAATACTTTTTCTTTTTTACTGATTAATTAGATTGTTTTCTTGATATACGGCTACTCATATTATCATATAACTGCAATGTGATTATGATAGAGACATTTTAAGGCCACAAAATTGCTTGACCTTGACGTGTCGAGAGTAAAAGGAATTGACGAACAAGGAAAATTGATACCTATCAGAACTGAGACATTGAAAATCAAAATGAACAGATAATGTGATAAATAATGAAGTTTAAATCAGTTACCATTTGACTCATCATTTATATTTCCGGGCATTACAAATATTGCCCTGATTAATCACTTGGTCCATAACATAAATATTTCCTTTCCCTTTGAAGACGAAAAAACCAGGTCGTTTAACTACTAAATACAATCAGTAAATATAAACTCTGACATTGTGCCACGTCTCCAGGCAAACTTGTACCAGGTGACTGCGACGGCCGCTCGTATAGCGCCACCTCGCGGCTGCAGCCTTCGTAACGAGACCTCGTGCAATATATATAGCGTCGACTACTGCTTCACCAGCGGCGTGGTTTGCGACGGCATCAACAACTGCGGCGTCGCTGACTGGTACAAACTAAACTTACTTTAAGCAATAGTCACGATTTGATCGTTATTCAGGCAAATCAATTAATATAATACGCAGTTATATATAACTGCGTAATATATATATATATATATATATTATTGATATCTATAATGATGATATAAGTAAGCGCTTAATAATTCCATCAATAATTATTTTGCCTTTGTTCTTTTTGCTAAGGTTCGACGAGCGCAAATCGCAGTGCAACCTCCCCGTGGAGAAATTGAGTTACGCGCCTGTGGTGGCAGTTATGGCAGCTGTTTTTTGCACCCTACTCGTAATAGGGCGTGGCATACTTTATTGTCTGCCCTCAATTTCCGACTCGTTCTTCATCTTCAACGCAAATGAGGACAATCGTCTCTGTATCGATACAGTTTTCAAGTCGCCTGAGTCGCGTCGTGTTAGCTCGGACATCATTATAAGGACCTCTATCATACCGGTGAGAATTTTATTTATTTATTTCATATTATCAACTTCTTATATATATGTAGGAAGTATAGTGGGTATAGTACAGAGACCGATTTTGTAGTCAGGAATAATAATTAATTCGTTTACACGAATTAATTATCCAACGAGTCGAGGATAAACTAGTAACGGAATACGACAAGCGCACCGTTCCACGGCAGAGCCAAGACTGTCTTAACGGCGGCCGCTCCGTCCGTTTTATACAAGCAGGACGGGTGGCAACGCAGGTGCAATGCCGCAGGGGTGCGGTACACGTGTCGTTTACAAGAATTCTGTCTAGCTAGACCGACGCCACCGCACCTACAACGGTGCAGGTGCCGTCACGGCCATACTGACATGCGTGCGTCCTCGCACGCGCTCCATCACAATTTTAGTTATCTGTAGACAAAAAAAACATCGTTCGACTATCCTGACATAACAGCGTCTGGTCCAGTCTATATTGACCCTTCAGACTTGGGTGACAGTCAGTTTTATTCCGGCAGTAAGCCCTACAAAACTTTAATCATCTTTATGTTAGATCGGAATGATTAGTCTGTAGCTTTTTCTATTTTCTCTTTTTTTTTTCAAGTACTGCTTTCGCTAGTCCGGAATCACTATTCCCTATAGCTATATCACTGGACCGGCACAAAGCCCTGCAATGATTGTAAGAACTATTCTTTTTTCTTAACCTCTTTTTTTTCAGTACTATTTATGCTAGTCCGGAATCACTATTCCCTGTAGCTATATCATTGGACCGGCAAACGCCCTGCAATGATAGTAAGAACCACATTTTTTCTTACTCTCTCTTTTTTTTTTCAATTCAGTATAGAACAGCTACAGACCAACCATACCGCAAACATGTCCCCGTCACAATCACACAAAAGTGTATCGTGAGTGACGTAGTGACACGATAACACCTAAGTATGTAAACCAACAGCAACTCTACACATATCCCAGTGCAGCACATACCAGCCTCCCTGCAACTTCATGTTCCTTTCCTGCACTAGAATAATTATTTCATTAGAGTGTTGCAATGTCTCTAGTATTTTCTAGATGCACAGACACGGCTACCTCTGACTGTCGCACGTCCTCGTGCAGTTGACAGTGAACAGCATACGGTCTATCAGTTATCACCACCTGCTAACAAATATTAACTCTTGTTAAATATTACAACGGTCAACCATCCCAGACTTAATTTAAGTCATGGACGCGCCGATATGGCTACCTCCAGGCAAACGCACTCCAACTTTCCGTTCTGCTGCGTTCGTGCCACATTCGCGCTAGCGAGCCGTCGCGCCGTACTGGCGCTTGCGAATTGCCGCACTGCTTTGCAAAATTAAAAATTAAGAGAAATGGAGATAAATGTATTGCAAACTATGGAATTCCGAGATTCTCTTAAGAAACGGCAACTGTATGCCATTTGAAAACATTGCAAAAAACGGAAACTATGTGTAGAGACAAATACTACAACATATTTCAAAGGGAAGGAGGCAACCGCGCAAAATCTACGAAAGCAGTCCAAGCCTCAGACGTCCATTTACAGCGCCAAAGCACCATTTGTTCGGCGGCCGCTTGAATTGCCTTGCCGTAAGATCAGCCGATAAGTTACCGACTGTAGCGGTGTAGGCTCAATTTTACTAGCGCTCGGCCGTACCTGACCATGTTCGATTAGCCGTCACAACATCTTCCTCATTGATCATTGCTGTAGAGATTTATACGAATCTCCGACAGCAAACCCCAATTTTGTCGACCACACAGTATACAGAGCAAACTGCAACACTGATCAACACATTAGAACACAAAAATGTTACTTATTATTTTCAATTCCTAGCATGTTAAAGTTAATCCTTTATTTTGGTACATCACTTAAACGTTTTGAATTTCAAAATATAACAGATGATAATCATGTTTCGCATGAACTATCAAATTACAACAAAACTTGAATAAGTTAATTTTTCATTCAATGCAAACGATGACTCGAATGGAAGAAATGTCGGAAGCTTTCTAGCTTCCGACATTTCTTCCATTTGTTAACATATTTAGGTACGTCAGAAATAATGAAAATACTTGAGGGTACTTTTAATACTGTCATTCATAGGGGGGCCCAACGGATTAGTAAGCTAAAGTGGCAGTGGGCCGGCCATATAGCTCGAAGAACCGACCACCGATGGGGAAGAAAGGTTCTCGAGTGGCAGCCTCGTACCGGTAGGCGAAGTGTAGGGCGTCCCCCCACGAGATGGAGTGACGACCTGGTAAGACATGCAGGAAGTCGATGGATGCAGGTGGCTCAGGACCGTGCTTTGTGGCATTCTTTGGGGGAGGCCTATGTTCAGCAGTGGACTTGTGAAGGGCTGTAATGATGATGATGATGATGACTTTTAATACAAATCGAACAAAAGGATTTATCTTTTGGCTTAAATAATTTCACTTTATCTTTTCTCTACACTTTAATGATAAGACAATATCGTAAGTAGGACAGAAAATTTCATTACGGTATTTAACATAAAAAGAGATCCATAAATGCGAAATGCATTATAGCTTTTACAAATGTAATAATTCTCATACTATTCGAAAATTATATGTGGGCAATAAGGGGGACTTTATCCCACTTCTGATGTAGGAAGTATAGCGGGTATAGCACAGAGACCGATTTTGTAGTCAGGAATAATAATTAATTCGTTTACACGAATTAATTATCCAACGAGTCGAGGATAAGCTAGTAACGGAATACGACAAGCGCACCGTTCCACGGCAGAGCCAAGACTGTCTTAACGGCGGCCGCTCCGTCCGTTTTATACAAGCAGGACGGGTGGCAACGCAGGTGCAATGCCGCAGGGGTGCGGTACACGTGTCGTTTACAAGAATTCTGTCTAGCTAGACCGACGCCACCGCACCTACAACGGTGCAGGTGCCGTCATATACAAAAGCGATATCACTTATACTTTACATGCAATCTACCACAAAATATGATCTTTTTTAAATCATTTATCAATTTTTTTCTACTATTTCTCTCATTTATCTATTTTTTACTACTATTTCTTAATTAAAAAAAAATCATTATCTTATCAACTATGCGTCAGTTTCAACAAAGTTTATCTTCATAAAATTGTCTTAATGATGAAGTAACTTTCCTTCGTAAGGATTAATATGCCTAATAATAACGCTTATAAATCACTTTTTAATTTTCAATTTTTTGTCACAAAATACCTTATTGAGGCTTATGTATAAGAAGTAGGCATATGCTATCGCAGACTTTTTTTTTAGATTGAGTAAAGACCTGTATTTTTGCAGAACATTGAATTTACGTATCACTAATTGTCACGCCAGTGCACGCGGATAAATCATTTCGGGAGCGGTTTTTCTTCTGACTTGCTTAACAAAATTTAATATTCAAGGTTAGTTGAGAGGTGTAGCCTAATGCTAGTTAGCCTATACTATTTATTATGAATCCGGCTATACAAAAATATTTTTTTTAAATCGGAATGGCAGTTTTAGAGATTAGCATGCTTAAACAAATAAAAAGAAAAAAAAAACTCTTCCGCTTTATTATATTAGTATAGATAATAGAAATTTAAACTATTAAAGTTCTACAGTCTGCCAAACTGCGCCGCGGTTTGTTGGCAGAAGAAAATGCTCTCTCTGTATTATTAGATTCAATCTTATTCCTTTTTTTTTTTTTTGCTTTAAAAATCCACAGCAGGTCTCGTAATATGGCGTGTCTCTTTGACTCAGAATATTGAATTATCTAATTTTATGAAAAAAGTAAAAGTTGTCTTCCCCATAGAATAGTCAAATATCATCTTAATATTGTATGTATAAGTATATAAGTAGGTATTATTTAAATATATAGTAATATAACACACCTGTTACCTAGGTTTAGTCTCAGTGCATGTGTGTATACGTTATATAATATGTTAGCACTACCTTTTAACTCGTAATTTCTAATAGATAACTATGAACTCGTATATAACTCTTAGTTGGAAGATCACACACCGACTTGTCTGTGAAGTCACAAGGCTCCAACTGAAAACCAGCGCTGTATTTGCAGCATTATGCTGAGTTGGAGACCTATTTGATGTCACATTTTCATATTGATTTTTTTTTTCGTTTTTACCTTTGTTTTATTATTGTGTATGTACTGCTTCTCAATTGTAAATGCGTAAACAGTGTTAGACTGGTACATGCATTCTTTTCCCCCTTGCTTTTGTTTATAATATTTTTTTAATGTGTGTAAAATGTGTTATCAAATAAATAGTTCTTTCTTTCTTTCTTTCTCTCTTACTTCCTAAAATGCAAAAAAAATATAGCTTAATACAAATATACACACTCAAATATAACAAACCAATAGTATCAATCTAGCATTCATTAGTAATCTAAATAACAATAGAATTTTTATATATGCATAAATGTATCACAAACATATACATACACAGGTACTGTATAATGGCTCGTGATGATACAACATGTCAAATTTCTACTATTTATTAGTATAAAGTTTTTTTAACTTGCTTTAAATTGTCTTTTTATTTTAAACGTAAGACATTGTTTCGGTAAATTGTTATAAATTTTTGGATATTAAGTGTTTCTCTAAGACTCGTTGTAATTGAATGATATTGTTTTATAGGTACTTTGTAATAATATCTAAACATTATTATGTGGGATACTTAATTTAATTAATAATATTCGAGTTTTGTTCACGGCGGCCAGTCTCAAAGGAGACTGCCCATCTGTGCAGGACAGGATATAGTGCTCTTCTAGGACTATACTGCATTATATAGTGCCCAAGTGTACGCGCTACCACAAGAATACATACGTCCGCACTCTCAAAGTCCGATGGGATTGTTATCCGGTTTACCTGAGAGAGACCAGGCGTGAGACCAACGGCTTTACGTGCTTTGCGAGGCACGAGAGTGAAATACCGCCAACTTCCTGGCTCCGGGCTGCTACTGAGCATTTCTTGATAGAACAACCAAATAACTGATTTTGGCTGGACTCGAGAATCGAACCTTCATGATCCATGACTCATTTACGACCACTAAACCAATGAGGCGGATATTTTAATCTATACAAACAAATAAAATTGAAGTGTCTGTTTGTAATATCAAAATAACAGCTTATTACTAAATACATATAAAAGTGTATACGGTACTTAGAACAAATACACAATTTTCTAAAATTTTGTCTGTCTCTGTGTCTGTCTGTCTGTTTGTTCCGGCTAATCTCCGAAATGGCTGGACCGAATTTGACGGGATTTTCACTGGCAGATAGTTGATGTTATAAAGAGTAACTTAGGCTACTTTTATTATAGAAAAATAATTAGGGTTCCGCGCAAAAAAATTAAAACCCTAAATTGAACGCGGGCGAAGTCGCGGGGATCAGCGAGCTTCATAATTTGTGACACCTAACTTATAAATTGTGATATTTTGTCACTGATATTATAGTTTCACCGTTTTAGATATTTTCTTATTTTTTAGAATTGGAGAGAAATTTTTATCATATTAACATAAAAAAAAACTCAGAGTTTATGTGAAAAAGCAGTTACGATGCTGCAAAAATAGCAGTATCGTAGCTGCTATTTCTTGCAGCATAAATAGGTTTCCTCAACCGGGATAGGAAAACGCTCTTGCCGAACTCCAACGTCACATATTAGTAGTAGTTAATACTACTGTTTAGGCCAAATATTAACCTTTGAAAGTCGAATTCTCGACGCGCACTCGGCGCGTTCATTCGATGGTACCAGTCACCGCCTGGTACCACCTCTCCCGCGAGCGGGTCTCTCGGCTTACCGCTCGATCGCCTGATGCGTGGGCGAGTTAGTTGGGCGCGGCCGTAGTGTCGATTAGACGGAATTTACTATCGAATATTTGGGTCTTGTTAAGACTGCCTCCTTTGGGTTGTCTAATCTCGTTCGTTGTGCGTGACAACGGGGCTTGTCTTATATAATTCTTGTTGTAATATTTTTGAGTGATTAACTTAACTTCGATTACCGTTAATTTGCGTCGACGAGTTGCTTTTGTGGCATTTTAATATCGTACGATGGAATTTTGCTTTGTCGTGTGGAACGCTAAAACTTTGTGACTCGAGAAGAGATCGCGTTCGTGCTCGTGGTTATAATTTTGTGCTAAGTGAACCTGGGACATTGAACTTTGACCGACCGTTCTTAAATTGTGCAGCGTGTCACTTGTTTTAATTTCTATTAATGTTGATTTGGTTGAATTTGAATTTAATTAAATGTACAATAAAGTTGATAAACTAATATAGTGAAATAAAAGCAGAATGTTTCAATTGGTGAACGCCCACTGGAGGGATCGCACATTTTGGAGGAAAGTGGCGCCTGTGGGTCCGCTCTCAGAATACGTCGGTGACGTCAGGTTACATCTACACACTTTCACACACTACTTACATACACCTCACTTACCACCTGACTTCACCTTGTGGTCGACACTACCTCCGGAACTCGGTAAGTTTGTGTTTGCTTATCAGCTATTAGTTAATTATCCATAGGCCATTTGGGCCCGAACCCTCTGTTGCTCGTCGAGTGTATTACTGATGGGCCCTAATACAGTCCACTTCTGTCTGGGCAATTGAGGGCCGTAACAACTATTGTGTTTTGTATAGTGAGCGTAGAGAAGCAGAGATCCTTTTTTAGTTCGTTACGCATCTTTGCACGGCTTTGGGAGAAAGAGTCGTATCTGCTGAAGAATGCAGCTTCATTTCCAGTGTAACAGCCACAAGATTAAGAGTTTGATCGGATAATTTTTGGGTTCGTCTGCGATGACAATTTAGCTCTGATCGCGTGGACAGTTTCCATAAGTTTGTCATTCATATTGAACCTACACTGTATTGGAGTGCCTAGAATGCACTGTAAAAGATTTTGTTATTCGACCTGATAGTTTTCGTGGCTTCGGATTAGAGCACGTGAGAGACGGAGAATTGATATTGACGTGTTATCTACCGAGAAAACATCATACTGCATTTTCCATTTTCCGCAAATAATTTAATGAAAGAAATTAACAACAAGAACTTTTGGCAGCATCAGTAAAAAAATTACGATAATGTAATAAAATAAATATTATTGAGCGCCACCATTAATGCCTGGTACATGGCAACACTAGTTAGTAGCGCCCTCTAGTATCGAGTAGCAGAACTAGCAGAGTCAAGATCCTTCTATAATATTCCATGGAAGAATTTTCTAGAACTATCGACACCTAGTCAGTCGGGACTGGTATGTCCTCGAACATTCTAGATGTTTCTACAGTAGAAGGTTCTGGAAATTATCTGAGGTCCTATATAAGGCCGGTATAGACCGCGACGCGGTCAGTGTTGAGTTAGCGATACAAGCGAATACTTCGATGGGATACCACTGCGAACTAAAGCGATCAGTAGTACAATTGTGTTTTGTTATTATTATGGTTTTAAGTTGTATTTAGTGTTCTGTATGTCAATTTTGGTACGAGTAACTAACTCGGCAGTTTTTGATTGTTTGGAATCCCAACCTCGTAACAATATAAAAATTAATGAATAATCCATTTCTGGGCATAAGTCAATAATCTTTCCTGGACGTCCGCAATCGTCATGCTGAGCAGTTGGAAGTCGTTGATTCTTCCTGACCACTATCAACACTAATCATCTGAAGTTGTTTAGCTTTCAATTCAGTGCTCAGTCATTTAGAAATAATTTGAACAACATTGGCTATATTTTTAATCGTTGATTAGTTAAATTAATGTAAAGCCGTATAATACTACAGAAAGTTTAGTATTTAACCCACTTGAAAGTAAAATTATTTGTATTAAATTGCCAAGCTTAAGTGAATACCACCACATTAAATGCCATGTCCAAACTAGTATAAGGCCGTGTTCCGACGACACGCATCATTGCATATTGATTTGTCATAAGACTCAAATTATATGCAACAAATTTAAAAGCGAGTTAGACGCGGGTGCTGACGCGCGTGGCGTGCGCGTAGCGGGTGCGTGTCGTCGAAACGCGGCCTAACAGCGCTGCAGCAATACTGCTACAGCTTAGTGCTGAGGTGGTGGCATTTTAGTCACTACAATCCAATAAAATGTTATATTTCTGTCTCCTATATTTTATGGATGGGTATTCTTTTATAGCGATGAATTTATTTCTTTCTTTAAACCACTATCGTCGGTTACTTTAAAGACTGCTTCTCTTGGTGTTATTCTGCCATTTGCCGTAACTTAATCATGGCATATTATTTATTCTCAAGGTATTCTCGGATTCATCGACGGAGAGCAACAAATCTGAAGAGATTAAAGTTACAGTTCATGAATCAGAAACTGTGGACGCTGTCCAAAGTGACGTAAGATCTTTTTACATCCTATTAACACTCATAATACTGTCCCTACGATCACTACAAGCCATCACAAGTGCACTGCTGAATATAGGCCTATTCCGTAGTTTGCCGAAAGTACCGTTCTCAGCCACTTGCATCCGTCCTGTACGAGTATGTTTTATCAGGTCGTCACTCCATCTGGTGGCCGGAACACTGCGGTTGGCAATACGAGGCCGACAGTCCTTTCAGATCCTTTTTTCTCCATCAGTTGTCGGTTCTTCGAATTAAATGGCTTGCCATCCTTACTTTTCTGCGAATATCTGCGTTATTTACGACTCAGAGCTTTCTCAAACGGCCCTGCAGTGATTGACAACGTTTGGGTTCCATTTAGTCGTCACAGGTACACATAATGGTTGTACACTTGTTTGTCGGACTAGAAGATCTGTTCTGATTTCCCGCACGCAGCCCAGCCGAGTCAGAAAATCAGTCACTGTGAGTAATGAGGAAATCGGTATATGGTAGGGATATTCTTCTACATACTTTATCTATCATATTTAAGATATCCCTACCATATTCCTAGAAGGTAGTTTAAAAAATCACTTACCACATGCATATCCCTGACGCGTCCTATTCCTTTCGTATTTCCAGTCCATTTTCTCACCTTTTGTTGATGGTGGTAATCATCAAGCAAGTGTGGCAACTATAGCAAATAGCTCTAGTCTAGACTTTTGATATGCTGTAATATTTATTAAATTGTAATAATGTATTTTTAGCCACGCTGCAGCTATGTCGGCTCGACCGAGGAAGGACTACGCTCTCGCAGAATACTAGCATAAAATAGATCTTAATGCTGTAGTGTAAAGAAATGAATACCCTTTTTACTGGATACAGGGCATTCCATCTTAGTCCTGAGGGTGATTAAGAGTGAAAACGCATCTGCATTTTGATTCTTAACCGAGAATAAATGTAGATGTCTACGGGTCACAGTATCCAGTTAGCCAGTTACCATCAGGTGGACTGTGTGCTCGTTTGTTACCATTATTCAATAAAAAAAATGTTGATTTTGATGCTGGGTCTAAATACTAATTGTTGTTACGGGCAGCAGCACTACCTGAGTTTAAAATTCACAATGGAACCAACCACTGGAAAGCTTGTTGATAATGAATAGGTGGGCATTTTGAATAATATTGCTGATTTCATTTCAGAGGCCAAGGCGCGATTCCGAGCGGAATTTCACCATGAGATCGGTCACCACTACTCTGGGGAGGAGGTTAAAGAGTGTTACTGGGTACCACAGGAAGACGCCTAACGCCATTGGGCATGTAAAAGATATTTGAGCGGAAAATGCAAACGCTCTAGCGTTCCTTTTTTTTTCGCTAAGCAAAACAAAGTATAGTTGCAACCTACTTATTATGATGGTTTCGTATATTTACTCGAATGCTTCTATTAAATATATATAAAATATAGAATGACAACAACAAATTTTACGGATTTTATCGCGTTTAATTTTAACTTTGTAATTCCCGACGTTTCTGGCACTTTATAATACAGTACTCATGGTCACAGGGAGGACTGATGTCATAGTTGACGAAGTCTAGCTGCAACTTTTTATTAAAAAAGTTATAATTAAACCGCGATAAAATACGTCAAATTTGTTTTATTGCATATTATTTTGTTATGATTTAGTTCTGGGCACAGACCGACTTTCATTCACGTGTTACGGAGTAGAAGGATCCGCTGAGCAACTCCAATGTTAAATTAACGTTTGGAATTGTGTTAATTGTCAATTTATTTATATGTTTCCTCAATATTTTATTTATTCTTCCCCGAGCACGTAGTAATCAGTAGTTTGAATCAGTTAACAATAAAACACAGGTTGGTCGCGTGGAAAAATTTTTTTTTATTGATATGAAATGAAAATGAAATTTAATGAGATGAAATGAAATTAAACCTAACCTAACTCATTGAATCAAATCATTAAATCTGATATTGAAACAAATTAGTAGCTTCTTTTTAGAAATATTTGCAGGAATCATAAAAACTTCTATGATTTTTATTAGTAAAAACTTCGTGGTTGGTTTTTTACTTTTTAATAGACATTGTTTTGACAGTTGTGAAAGAGAACGCACGAGTTCGGAAAAGGTAAAGAAAAAGCTCGAGTATGTAATAGCCCACATCCCGAACGCTATACGTCCCTGCAATACGCCACTTTTTGAGCAACTGTATTAAGAAAATATTAAACGAGCAACGTAGCCATTGGAGTATATTGTTGCGCGCCACAACTAATGCATGGTACATGCTCCAAGCTCGTAACAACATTTAACAAATGTATCAGAATATCTATACAAATAAAATAATTTAAGTGTCTGTTTGTAATGTTAAAATAACAGCTTTTTACTAAATGCATATGAATGTATATACGGTATTTATGACAAAAACACAATTTTTAAAATTTTTGTCTGACTGTCTGTCGGTCTGTCTGTCTGTCTGTTTGTTCCGGCTAATCTCCGAAACGGCTTGACCGATTTCGACGGGACTTTCACTGGCAGACAGCTGATGTTCTAAGGAGTAACTTAGGCTATTTAGATTTCAGAAAAAGAATTAGGGTTCTGAGCAATATAATTAAAACCCTAAATTACACGCGGGCGAAGTCGCGGGGAACAGCTAGTTTCTTAATATATCCTCTTCTAATGTGACTGTGTAATTTCTTATGTGTGTGACTTCTACGTTGGTTAAGTGGTCGTTAACGTTTGCTAATCATGAAGTCCTGAGTTCGAATTTTAGGTTAAGACAAAATCACTTATTGGGTTTCATCTGTCAAGAAATTCTCAGTAGCTGCCCGGAGTCAGGAAGTTGGCGATGTCTCACCCCTGTGCTTCGGAAAGCACGTAAAGCCGTTGGTCCTGCGCCTGATCTCTCTCCGGCCATGTCGAATTACCGTCCCATCGGATTATGAGAGTTAAGGGAATCGAGAGTGCACCTGTGCTTGTGCATGTACTTGGGCACTATAATCTCGTCCTGCGTTCATGGCTTGTCTTCAGTTTGGACTGGCCGCCGCGACATAAGATTCTGTTTGGAGGACACTATTACATTACTATTTTAATGTAACTGTATATTATACAAGTAATTATTGTATGTTTTTAAAAATCATAGTTTAAATTTAAGGCATCAAAAAGATTAATACCACATTAAACAAAAAAAAAAATTAAATATCTACATTAGATACCTAATTAGATTTCTTTAAATATTACGTTTTGCAAAAATTAATAAACATTTAACGCCATCTACTTTGAGGCAACAAATAATTATTAATTTATCAAATATTTTTTTTTTCTATTATAAGGGTGACAAACGAGCACGAACATTTATACCCGATTATGAATCAAAATGCAGATGCGTTGTCACCCGTGATTATTTCGATGGAATGCCTCGTCTCCTGTAAAAACAGTCTCCTGTTCTCTACACTCACCATACGTAACTCAGAAACATTAAGCTATATTTATTTTGTTAGCTAACTGATCCTAACACCACTACTGGCAACAATACTACTACACTAGGAAAGACACACCGCCGTCGTTATGACAATTAGTATTATCGACTTAGATTTGTATCCATCTATATATAAATTTAACAAGCGACCCGCCCCGGCTCCGCCTGGGTACGATCGAAAAATATGGCGTAATTTAGATTTAACATAATCATCAAAGGCAAATTATCCATCTTATATTTCGATGTAAAGAAAAATCACCAAGGTTTTCTCGGATAAAATATAAGCCAGATCTTTCCTGGGATTGTACTCTATCTGTTTGTGACTTTTCATTACAATCGGATCAGTCATTCCAAAGATTAGTACAAGAGACAGACAAAAACCTTCGGAACAGATTGTGCTGAACAGATCGTGATGAAACTTCACCAACAGGTAGATACAGAGCAATGCCAAGAGATGAGAATGATTTCAGATGTATATTTTATCCGAATACTAGAAGATTTTAAAATGCATATTATAAAATATTAAAAACTATAATAATAATAAAAAAAACTAATACTAGAAACTTAATTATCATATAGTCCTACTCTCCGCGGTATCGTGCCAAGAACGCTGGCTGCGTTTCCCCGCTGAATGGCTATACTTAGCCTTTGAGCGAGAAAACAACCAGCCCTCTTATAACCAGCAGCAACGACCAGCCGCAGATTGAGTTCCTTTAGGAACTCCACCGCACGTGGACCCCACGGACCGATAGCCTCTACAGCAAATGACACAAATATGTGATCATCTCTCAGAGACTCATATTTGCGCCACTTACTCAGTTCAGCTGCCTCCAATCCCGCCCCGGCTCTAAACGCGGTACCCCTGAGATGAGAGGCCGTCAGGGTGTCTACGCAAGTAGCATCCCACATTAGGGCTTTACCTCTCTCCCAAGGGACCAATGTCATACCGTCGGGTCTCCTGCCATCGTCTCTAAATATTCCACAAGGCTCTAAAACCGAGGGAGCATTTATAGAGACAAGAGCCATTCGGATGACATCGTTCAAAGAACTGTGTCGTGAAAACCTACCAGCGCTTTTCTTACATGAAAGTCCGTGGAGCCCAAACTTGTCGACGCTGCTATCACAGGGGAACTCATGGGGTTGACAAAGAGCCGCTCCTAGTTAGATTCCTACGGCAATACGCAAGCTTTCCCCATCGAGTAATGTGCCGAGATTACTTGAAGGTAAAGCGTGTAACCAGTGACTAGATTCCTTAGTCGAAACAGCTAGAAGGCGTGCCTTATCTTGATCACTATGGAAATTATGAAACAAATCTTTCTACACGCCCCGTACCAACGGAATATCCCACTGTTTTTGTTAGTTAACTTCCAGTGGAACATTTTCACCGGGACAGAGCGTTTGTCTGCCCTGCCTCCGTAGCAAAGCATAGGCCTACTTTATTATTTAAAATTATGTTACATAAGTCACTGATACTATGCACGGAAGCAAGGAAAGCAGGCAATGCAACGCTAGAAAGATTTCTCACACCAATGCCACCAAATTTTATAGGTAAAGTAGCTTGAGTCCAGGCTATTGTATTTAAAGTTAAATTTAGAATTTTTCCTATAGCTATTTTAAGATTATTATCAATATCTTGTAAAATATCCGAACATTTCCAGACTGGACTCGAGCGAAGTAAGTATGTAAATCTAGGTACAAGGAGACAATATTTTAAAATAGTAAGAGCTATGTGGGGGTTTAAAATGATGATGTTTTCCATAAGCAATCAAAAGCAAATATTTCCCGACTACATAAAATGGTATGGAATTGAATGAATTGAGCAACAAACACCAGATGTTTTCATTTGTTTTGACCACATGTCGTAAATATTTTTATACGTGGTAGAGCCATGCTGCAGCTATATTACTGGTACAGTTGTAGAACGAATGGGCCGGCTAGACCGGGGAAGGACCACGCTCTCTTAGAATACCAGCGTAAAATAGCAGCTAACGCTGCTGTGTTTCGTATGGTGAGTGTATAGAACCGGAGAACCTTTTTACTGGATACATGGCATTCCATCTTAGTCCTTAAGTGACTAGTGACAACGCATTCTGCATTTCGATTCCAAATAGAGGATAGATGTAGATGTATATGGGCTGCAGCAACCACTTACCATTAAGTGGACTGTGTGCTTGTTTGTCTCACTTTACCTATAAAAAAACCGGCATGTTTAAGAAATAAAATATTTGAAATTTAGTTGATTCCCCCAACCATAATATACCACCATAACCGTCTCATAATAAGAGGAGTCCTGTGCCCAGTAGTACGTATCTATGTTATAATAGGCTGGGTGGTAAGACACTTTATGAAAGAAAGAAAGAAAAAATATTTAATACAACAATTCCCAACCAAAATTACAGAACGAAAAAAACTAAATCTTTGTATAAAACTATTTTTGGGGATTTTATCGCGATACCACTACCACCTACCACTACCACCTACTTACTTAACTACACCTGGTAAGCTTAAAATGCTTGTGTCAGGAGTGGTTCACGACAGTAGTCGATTGTCGGATTCGAACCCTTACCTTTTGAGTTCGCGGTCAGCACCCTGCCATTAGGCTACTGTCCCTTCATGTATGAATGTTTGCTACTTTACTGTTTTACTTACTCGTAGCTATACCACATTTTTTTTGATCTGCGCTAATTTATTAGTTTATTTCTACTTTAATTTAAAAAGCTAAACCAATTAAATTAGTTATAATGTGTGACCTATTCAGATTATCTAGAATAAAAATATATTGTTAATCACTCACATCACATCACAGAAGAATTAAAACAACATTATGAAGAAACGATGACCTTTATTT